ATATATATATGTATACAAAAAACTGGGTGTAGGCCAGAGGTTGCAGAAAGGTATGTGACAGGATTCACCAGAGGGAGTGGGGAGCAGAACAGGCAGATTCACTGATATACACTGCTGAGGGGCGCAGCGGGAGAGATAGGAGAGGTCTGCTCTGTCATGTGTGCTAGCTCTCTGGCTGTCTGGGGATCAAGCTCTGCTTGTGAACTCTGCTGTGGTAGCTGGTGATAGCTTTATAGTGCTGGGTCTTTAACCCCTGCACCACCCCTCTTCCCTCATTTACAAAGACTCAGAGGACATACAGGAAATTGGACTCCCGGCAGCACTAGCAAGCGAGTCTCCCAGTCACCGTCAGGCCAAATGTGAGAGAGGTGGTCTGGGGGTGTTGAGGAGAGGCAAGGACAGCATCATCAGGGACAAGAAGCCGGAGCTGGGATTCCATCACCAGCAAACTCTACTTATCAGCTTAAATGTTTGCAAGTTGCCTCAGGCTGTCAAGTGGTCAGGTCAGGGCCTTCCTCCTGGGGTGGGTATTGAGACAGACCTAAAATGACGGCCACAGAGGAGAGGGCACTGTCAAGGAGCCACTTGAGGAACATCTCAGAAGTGGGGAATCCAGCAGGCAGACTTGACTAGAGCCCAGGTCTGTGGTCTGGTTGGCTAGCAGGAGCCAGAATCTGAGCAAAAGATCTGAGGAAGCAGAGGAGAGAAGCAGGGAGATGAGTTTTCAGAACAACAAGCCCCTTCGATCCCCAGTATCCCTAGAGGGCTGTCGGCATCAAGCACAGGAGCCTTAGGCTGCTGCTTTGGGACTTGGCTCACACTTCATGATCTCTGGGCCTCATCTGGCCTGACCTTGCCTCTGCCTACCCCACCCCCAGGTACTACCGTGGTGCAGTGGGGGCCCTACTAGTATTTGATCTGACCAAGCACCAGACCTATGCTGTGGTGGAGCGCTGGCTGAAGGAGCTCTACGACCATGCCGAGGCCACCATCGTCGTCATGCTTGTGGGTAACAAGAGTGACCTCAGCCAGGCCCGGGAGGTGCCTACTGATGAGGCCCGCATGTTTGCTGGTGAGGACCCACCACGACCCTGTCTGACCCTTCCAACCCTAGCCCCTGCCTCCTCAACATTTGTTCCCACTGTGGAGTCTCAGCCTGAACTTACTCCAGAGAGCCCCTACTTCTTTCCCTTCCTCAGACTCTCCTAGCCCTCCCCTCTTTGATCCAGTGACTGTTGTTCAGTCCCACCATCTGCCCTGAGGTTGTTTTATGGACTATTATTTCAGGTTGATTTTTTTAAAAAAGATTGATTTATTTATGCTTATAAGAACTGGGGTACAGGCCAGAGGTGTGGGGAGTGAGAGGATTCACCGGAAGTAGAGTGGGGAGCAGAACAGACAGATTGGCTGAAATATACTGCTGAGGGTACTACTGCAGGTGACACAGGAATGGCCTGCTGGGCCACGTGGGCCAGTTCCCTGGCCAGGGAGTAAACTCACGCTAGCTTCATAGTGCTGCTCTATAACCTGTTGTGCCACCAGGGCAGGCCCTCTTTATGGCTGATTTTAAGACAGCCCCATCCTGCAATGCTCAGAGATCCTAGGTGGAGCAGGTAGCTGTTCCTTTACCAGTAGATGGTTCCCTTGACTATCCCTAGTCACACTTTCCACAGGAGATTTCTGAGGTTTAGAGGCAGCTGATACAATGGTTAAGGATGCTGGCTCAAGAGTTCCAAAATTTATCCTCACATCTCTGGTGATATGAGACTCGGATCAAGTTCTTTCTTCATTCTTGCTGTGTTTCTGGGCTGCAGTTCTCTTTCCATAAAAAAGGGACGGTATTGGGACCATCCTCATAGTTTGCTTTAGGTACAAAATGAACTCCCACGTGCCAAGCATTTAACACACAGCAAATGTATATGATAACCATTAAGTAAAAATTATTAGTATTGCCATTGACCCCCGCAATTAATGGTGTGTTTCCTCTCCTGTCAGAAAACAATGGGCTGCTATTCCTGGAGACCTCAGCCCTGGACTCCACCAATGTTGAGCTGGCCTTTGAGACTGTCCTCAAAGGTTAGAGCCTCTACTTCCACATTGTCACCCCATTTCATCCTGTGGCCTCTGCGGGCAGTGTAGGGGTACTGACACCAGCTCTCACCCAGCTATTTCTTGGCCCTAATGGGCCCCTGATATCCTCAGCGCCTCCCAGTATCCCCTTCAGACTCACCCTAGAGCTCCCCACTCAGCTTAGAGTTTAGGGAAATAACCAGAAGGGTATGCTTACCAGAAGCTGAGTCTTCTTTCTTCACTCAGGTAAGTAGAAGGGGCCCACATGCCCAAAGTCCACTTCCCCCCAGCAAAACCTCCTTAAAATGTGCCCCCCCCGCCTACCCACCAAGAAAGGTCACATTGGAGGTCACTCCAATGCTGGGGGTGAGGGGAGGAGGCAATGTTAGAAAAAGAGTCAGGGTGAGCCCTGTCTATATGGGATAGGGGGTTAATCTTGGGAAGGGAGGGTTCAAGCCTTCTGTGATACTCTGACCCCAAAAAGGGGGTGTGTGGGGATGGATTGAATCTGGTGGAAATGGGTGAGCATGAGTGGGGTCTGTCACACAGGGTTTGTGATTGGGGAACAGGGAATCTAAATCCTCTTCTGACCTTGTCGCTGCCTTCTGTCCTCTCAGAGATCTTCGCAAAGGTGTCCAAGCAGAGGCAGAACAGCACCCGGACAAATGCCATCACCCTGGGCAGTGCCCAGGCTGGTCAGGATTCGGGCCCCGGAGAGAAAAGAGCCTGTTGCATCAGCCTCTAACCTGGGTTAGCACCAACCCTACCCCACTGGCTTCCTGGTACCCTGGCTCTCTAAGGTCCAGGACCTTCCCTGCCCTGGGTTCCAGCCAGCAGTGGTCTATACCATTTACAGCCCCGCCTGGTTCAAAGGCTCCAAGGTCTTCATGCACCACACACATCGCTTTCATCTGTCCACCCCAGTCTAAGGCCCTCAAATAAAGCTGTTTTGTACCAATGCCTGGCATCCTGCTTCCCCCCTTCAACTTTGGCCCCACCTCTGAGTCCCTATTCCCCTCCTCCTCCCCTCCTTCCCACCATACCCACTGCCCCCCAGGGCCAGCTGCCTCTGGAGTCCTACAGTCTGGGGATGGTGCCAAGGGGGTGGGAGGTGCCCGCCCTTCCCTCTGTCAACCCCCAGGGCAGGTGGGGGAGGGAGGACAGTGTGGTGGAGAGGGGGTATCTGGAAGGCAAGACAAAGAAAACCATCGGCAGGCACCATCTGGTGCCCAGGGCCCTGGTGCCAAGAACTGAGGTCACTCCAATGCCAGGGGTGAGGGGAGGAGGCGATGTTAGAGAGAAAGAGTTAGGGTGAGCCCGTGAGCCCTGTCTATATGGATAAGGGGGGTTAATCTTGGGAAGGGAGGGTTCAAGTCTTCTGTGGTATTCTGACTGACCCCAAAAAGGGGGTGTGTAGGGATGGATTGAATCTGGTGGGAATGGGTGGGGTTGAGTGGGGTCTGTCTCAGCTCTTGCTGTTTATTGGCACCCAGGAGTTAGCTGTCTGGCAGCGCCTCTCCTTTTCCTGCTCTACAGGGCTAGGTAGAAAGTCTGACTGTACCCCCAGGGAAGTGACGGAGGGGCTGAGCCCCTGCAGACTCAAGCAGAACTGCGGAGAGCAGACAGGAGCCATCCTGCAAGGAACCCCTGTGCCTCCCAACCACAAGGTTTGGACCCATACACAAAGGATGAAGCTAGAGTCTTAAGTAATAATACTTTTAATAAAATTAAGTTCTTAATAGCACATTTAATACATTAACCCTCCCCCTTCTTGGTTTCTCTGCATTTTTGTGCAACATCATTTTGACTTGATTATACATGGGTCCGTTTTGTTTCCCGCCTTTATTTTGCTTTTGAAACGTTTTTTCCTTGGTGGATGTGTCTTCACTAGATGCCTCGAATTAAGTCTGACCACAATCCTACTCTACATTCTACAGTGGAGAGACCATCCCCTGCCCCAGGGCTGTCTCCCCTCACCCACCCTACCCCACCCGCACCCTGGAGTGGGGGAGGGGAAGCCCTCCCCACCCCAGACGCTACCTTCCCAAACTAGCGGGGTTTCTAGGACAATAAGAGCAGGGGAAAATCTGTCCCTAGGTGGGGCGAGAAGAGTAAATTGGGGAGAGGGAGATGTGTTTGGGATCCAGGGCCAGGAAGGGGCATGCCAGTCATTGGTGTAATGGAGCAGGCTCCTCTAGCCAAACCAGAGCCCTGGGGGGCCTCTGCACCCCCTTGAACAGGAGGGAAGGGGATGCCCTGATTGCAAGCTGCAGGTGGTAGAAGGCAAGTGCTTTAAGTGGTAGTTCTATGTAGAGGCCAGGTTTCCTCACTTTCCTTAGTGAGGGCGATTGTTCCCCAGGCTGGGGCCCCATAAATAACCTCTACCTGAACATTTATAGATGGAGTGGGCTGCAGTAGAGGGCTAGGTATCACCTGACCCCTGCCTCAGTACCGTTGGGGGCTCTGTTCTCATGTCAAGAACTGGGTCTCTCCCTTGCCCCACAGGAAGGAAAACCCTTCTTGGAATCTAACTTCTATGAGACAGTAAAGCACTTCGCAAAACTATAAAGCACAGTACGGCTTTCAAGAACACGATGAATGAGATTGCTACAGCCATGGCCGCCACGGAGGTCAAAAAGCTAAGTGGACCATTAGGTGGGAACAAAGAGGAGGACTTGCACCCTCTTGTCCTCCTGAAGCTCTAAGAAGTTGAGAAATGCAAGTGTGTTTGTGGAATGACCTACCAGGCTCTCAAACCAATCTGCAGTGACGTGGATGGATGTTACACTTCAGGGGCTTCCTCAGGAAGGCCTGGAAGAAGCTGGCCAAGGATGGTCTGAGCTGGGCAGTCTCCCTCCTGAGACCTTGATACAGGTCATCACCAGCGTGGAGTAAGTGCTGCCTAACAAAGACAGGGATGGGCAGAATGGCAAGGCCCCAGGTGCAGGAACACAGGCAATATACCAGCTTCCCTCTGCACTCCCCAGCCAGGTTCTTGCTGGTCGAAATATCCGTGTCCATCCTTTCAGAGACCCTAGGAACTGAGCACCTCCTCTTACTTGTCCTGTAACTGAAAAATCCAAGGATTCTCAGAATCAACCCCAGCGGGCTGGAAGCTCCCAACCTTAACCAGCAACTGGTTCCCACCCTGCTGTCTGAAGATGGGGCAACGCAGGGTGTCACTCCCCATCTCTATTTCCCTTTTCCTTACGACTTTTATACATTCTACTGGACCAGGGGCCCTCAATGCTACTAAACTTTAAACTATCTGAATATCATCTACTAAGTAACTAGTAATTCTTTCTTTTTCTCTAGGATTATATGAAATAAATTTGAATTATTATTATTAATAATTATTTTGTAGTATTCTTTTAAACCCCTCGGTTTCTTCCTTTTTTTTTTTT